GCACTCTGAACGTTCTTAGGACTGTTAGAGAGGATAAAGTGAAAATTGCAATAGACGCATTATAAATAAGCGCAAAAATAATTATATAATAAATCAACAGTGGCAGATCCAGGAATTCGAAAGAGAGGTGAACAAGGGAGACCGAGAAACCACCCACCTGAGCCTCACAATGGTTGGGGCTGAGGTAAGAAATTTTATGATTATGGCATCTCTAGATTGCCGGAAATTACACTCTCACACATAAATTTTAATATATTTTTCTTTTTTCCCCCTTAAAAATGAAGGGGGTGGGGGCGGGCATTGAATCTACCCCGGCTCAAAACATTCTTTATCCAGAATAGTCATAATCACGAAAAATGGACATAAAAAACCAGATCACATCCTAAAAACATATGTATGGACCTTCGCCTCAGCAGTCATTAAAGACACACATCAGGATCGGACTCGATGGAGTTTAATGTCATACCCAGGGAAGGGCACAGATCTGTTTTGAAAGGTGGAGAGGGCGGGCATTTTGTGAGTCGACACCCACCTCAGCCCCACCATTGCTGGGGCTGAGGTGAGAAAATTTAAGGAAATAGTACCTCTAGATGGCCAGAAAAGACACTTTTAGTAAAATTCATCATCACATCACCATTAGTCAAAATGAAGCGCCAAAAAAAATTCTCATGATCTTTTATCAGGAATCTACTTAATATCCAGGACAACTTAGGCCTAGTTATAGCTTACTAAGCTTTAACTATATATACTAGAGTATGATCAAGAAATCACAACTTTTTTTCGCATTTAGCACAATTTTCTTCACTTTTTATTGTTATTAATATTATTATCAATTATTACTATCGTCATTATCATCATTGTTATTATTATTATTACTATTAGTAGTAGTATTATTAAACAAACATGATATTTTATCAGGGATTTTTGACAACCATAGAGATCTTATTCTTATTAATGTGTGTGCGATATACCAGAGAAAAAAAGCTTAAAAACATTGTGTGTGCGATATACCAGAGAAAAAAAGCTTAAAAACATTGTCTTTGAGTATGTACTTTCAAAGAACTTAAATAGCAGAAGAATGAGCTGCTCCGCGTATTTGCATTAAAATCGATGGAACGTTCACCCTCCTGCGGCTGCAGTAAAATTTGAACATTTTACTAAGTGGAGAAATAAAGGAAACAAGCGAACAAGAGCAGCGCCTTTATAATTTTTATATAGCGCCGCCGCGCGGTTGCAGTAAAATTGCTCTCCGTGTACCCACAATGCCTTTTGAACGTATTTTATCTAAAAGTAATATTTTGCAAACCGAAGATGCAAGTTAATGTTTGTGCACCATTATTTTTTTTTTCTGGCATTCTACTTTGGATCGTCTTTAGGAAGCCTACAGTGAAATACATAATCAAAGAAAAGGTTAGAATGAAATAAAATATGGGGATAAGTCTGTTAGCTCTTTTGTTTAGTTATTAGCTAAACTGCTTTATATAAATGAGACGATACATTCTATTCAGTCACTTATCATTTACAGTATAATCTTACGCATATTTTCTATTAAAGTTTGGATTATCAATAAACATTCCTGGGTTTAATATTTCATTTTTTAAATATTTACAGGTAGATGTGGTAGACCTGTTTATGAACCTCCAGCTGGTAGCGTTTATGGCTCGGAAATCATTGACGATCCAGCAATACAACAGACTACGACCAAGGAGGTATCTACGACTAATTATGATTATGGCAGTGAAAATGACCTTGATATTGGAGTAGTAAAGACAATGAAACAGAGTTATTACATTTTGTTGGGGGTATAGAGCAGACAAATGATGATCTGTCTCTTATACACATCTAGATGTGTATAAGAGACAGATATAAATGAGACGATACATTCTATTCAGTCACTTATCATTTACAGTATAATCTTACGCATATTTTCTATTAAAGTTTGGATTATCAATAAACATTCCTGGGTTTAATATTTCATTTTTTAAATATTTACAGGTAGATGTGGTAGACCTGTTTATGAACCTCCAGCTGGTAGCGTTTATGGCTCGGAAATCATTGACGATCCAGCAATACAACAGACTACGACCAAGGAGGTATCTACGACTAATTATGATTATGGCAGTGAAAATGACCTTGATATTGGAGTAGTAAAGACAATGAAACAGAGTTATTACATTTTGTTGGGGGTATAGAGCAGACAAATGATGATCTGTCTCTTATACACATCTAGATGTGTATAAGAGACAGATATAAATGAGACGATACATTCTATTCAGTCACTTATCATTTACAGTATAATCTTACGCATATTTTCTATTAAAGTTTGGATTATCAATAAACATTCCTGGGTTTAATATTTCATTTTTTTTAATATTTACAGGTAGATGTGGTAGACCTGTTTATGAACCTCCAGCTGGTAGCGTTTATGGCTCGGAAATCATTGACGATCCAGCAATACAACAGACTACGACCAAGGAGGTATCTACGACTAATTATGATTATGGCAGTGAAAATGACCTTGATATTGGAGTAGTAAAGACAATGAAACAGAGTTATTACATTTTGTTGGGGGTATAGAGCAGACAAATGATGATCTGTCTCTTATACACATCTAGATGTGTATAAGAGACAGATATAAATGAGACGATACATTCTATTCAGTCACTTATCATTTACAGTATAATCTTACGCATATTTTCTATTAAAGTTTGGATTATCAATAAACATTCCTGGGTTTAATATTTCATTTTTTTTAATATTTACAGGTAGATGTGGTAGACCTGTTTATGAACCTCCAGCTGGTAGCGTTTATGGCTCGGAAATCATTGACGATCCAGCAATACAACAGACTACGACCAAGGAGGTATCTACGACTAATTATGATTATGGCAGTGAATTTTATGCATAAAATGGATCCAGATACCTTATATTTAGTTAAATATGGGTAAAATTTAAGAAAATGGGTCCAGATATTTCATATTTTTGCCAAAAATGGGTCCACATTGTTTGAATTTACACGTAAAATGGGTCCGCTCTGATATTGTCCCACACCGTTTGAAAATCCTGGCCATGGCATTGATCCTCATCCATCATCGTCACCCTCATCACCATCCTCACCAATCATTGTTAACATCATCACCTTCATCCTACTAATCATCCTCATCCATTATCATCCTTATTCTCATCATCATCAACCTCATCCTTATTATACTTATCATCATCACTCATTCATCATCATAGTCCTCATTATCATCATCATAGTCCTCATTATCATCATCATTTTTATTATCATCCTCATCATCATCCTCATTACAATCATCATCTATCATCATCATCCATCATCA